GTTGACCACTCTAGGCGGGGCTCAGGGTCCATGATTTTGGCCCCACCTTCAAGTGGCCAGCTTCAAGATGGACCCACACAATGACACACACCCATGTGGGCCCCATTCCATGCTACACGGGGTTGCCCTCAACAGATGGATTGGGGAGTAGTGGCATCAGTCAGCAGTTTGATCTATCAGTGGTTGGATCCTCTTTGCCTTATGTTGCACCAATTATACTTGCAGTAAAGCAGCCATAAAGTTGTATCCATTTCTATTACACCAACATGTGGGCATAATTTTGTTTCTTTTCCTTTCCTTCTCCCACTCAACCACTGCCACATGTAAGGCAAGGAGTCTTGTGGAACGTTAAAGACTAATGGATTTTATTGGGCATAAGTGTTTTGAAATTATAGCTCACTTAATCAGATGCACATGATGGTGAGCTACAGTCCACAAATGATTACAAAAAATAAGATTTGTTTATGTTTAAGGTATCACAAGACTATTTACTCTTTTTACTGTCTACCAGTGAAGCTTTCACAGAATCAGTCTTGCATTTTCCATTTGATTTGCCAGTGAGCAGTATGAACCAGGCACCGCCTCTGTATCTTTCAGTACTGAAAGAAGATTTAGGGGAGATATGGTAGCACTTTTCAAATACTTGAAAGGCTGTCATACAGAAGAGCAGGTTCTGTTCTTGATCATCCCTGAGTACTGGACACATAATAATGGGCTCAAGCTATAGGAAGCCAGATTTAGGCTCAATATCTGAAAAAACCTCTTAACTATTAGATCAGTATGACAATAGAACTTACTACCTCAGGAGGTGGTGAGCACTCCAACACTGGAGGCATTCAAGAGAAAATTGGACAACCATCTGTCAGATCTCTTTGATTTGGACTTAATAGCCTTATAGACCCCTTCCAACCCAATTATTCTGTGATTCTACAATCTTTTTTTTTTCCAGAAAATCTCCAGAGGTAATGCATTGCCGAACACATTACAGTAGTATGTGTACAATTTTGTTTGTTTGCTTGCTTGCTTGTACTCCTATGAATTTACTGACTGTATTGCCTATCATTTCCATAAAGGTGTTTTTGTGAGTGAAGAAAGTGCACACTAAATTACCTGAATGCTTAATTTAAAAAAATAGAAAGAGGAGGCTAGAATCCAGAACACATTAACTAGGGAGCAGTATATGAGGTTAAGCAGGAAAGGGATTAAGCTATCGGAATGGTTATGGTTCTTTTCACTTCACTTATAAACAGCAGCACCTGAAGGCAAAGTACAGTGGTGCCTCAATTTACGACCATAATCCATTCCAGATGGTGGACATAACTCAAAATGGTTGTAAGTTGAAGGACCATTTTCCATAAGAATTGACTGAAATGCAATTAATCCGCTCCGGCCGAAGAAAAAAAAATCACAAAAAAAAATCACTGCAAGACTCACTGAAAATGCGATTAATCCCTTCTGGCTGAAGGGGGGGTGAAGTAAAGCAATCAAGTATGCAAGACCCATTGGAAATGCACAGAAAACAAACAGCAGATTGGAAATGCACAGAAAACAAAGGGGGCAGGTCGGAAATGCAAAGAAAACAAAGGAAAAAGCAAAGGAAGCATGCAAACCCATCAGAAAAGGGGAAAAAACCCAAAACGCAACCACCACCCCCAAGACCCACTGAAAATGGAGGAGAACAAAAACAACAAACAACCCTCCCAAGACTCATCGGAAATGGGAAAAAACACTCAAAAAAGCAACAAAAACCCCCAAGACCCATTGGAAATTGGGGGGGGGACCAACCAACCAACAAACTCCCCCAAGACCCATCACAGCACAGAAACATAACCCCCCAGGGCCCAAAACCACACTGCAAAAACACCCAGAACAGTTTTTAAAAAGCAGAAAACAGCACCTTACCTTACCAGGCAACCCAAAGCCTCCCTGTAAACACACACATATGCTCACTCAGAAGCAGAAGTGAGGCAGTCCCAAGCCTCCTCCAATGCACACTCTCTAACTGCTGGGGCACAAGAGCTACAAAGAAGGAGACTCGTCACCACCTACAGTTAGAAATTTGAATTTCCCACCTTTTCCCCCTGCCCTTTTCTGTTTGTAAATGGAAACTCCGGTCGCAAGTAGAAGCAAAATTTTGCGGCCGGAGCTGGTCGTAACGCAAAATGGTTGTAAGTAGGGACGTTCGCAAGTCGAGGCACCACTGTAACAGCTTTAATCAAACAGAAGGGAAATTGCTCCTCATCATCATCACTCACCTAATAGCAAACAGTGCAAATAATATTATTTCCCCCAACATAAATAATAAAGTCTAAATTCTGCAGAAGCAAAGCTCCTTGCATTGTGTGATTAATATCCCTAGAACAGTAACATTACTTTAAGATCCTTGATCTTAAATTAATGATCAAGGAATAACCAAATCCTGTATTAATTTGTTCTAAGAACACAGAGATAGACTGTATAGAAAAGTTTCAAGTATATCCCTAAGCAGAGAGCCATTTAAGGGGGAATGTTTCTCTGTCTCTTTCTCTCCCGCCCTCCCTCTCCCTCTCCTTCTCTCTCCCTTTCTCTTCTCTTCCCCATCCATAAACCAGCAAACAGGCTACAATGAAGGCTAATATTTATCTGGCTTACCTCCAAACTTCCTTCCTACAAGGAAATGTTTATATATTCAAAGATCTGTGGAGCATTAGAATTGATCAGCCAAGTAATGCAACATGATAAAAGCCAGCTACACTTACAGGACCTCATAAATTAAGATGTTTACCTGTCTGGGAACTTCAATCATGTTTAATAGATATTATAGATGGTTCCTAATGCTATTTTCAGCAACTAGTACAGATATTAGTGATTGTGAACTGTCATTTTGGAGTACAGTATCTTCACACGACCCTGAATATGAATTCACCCCACCCTTGTCAACATATGGATGTCCTACTGTCTGTGTAATGTGATACAGTGGTTTCTAATTTCCAAATTTCAGCCTATTTGGGAGTTTTTAAAAAACCTAATTACATTGTTTCTAAATGGTCTAGGGCCATTGCTTTAAGCACAATGAAGTCTTGCTTCATTGCAGCCAAACAGAAAATTCATTCTGTGTCACTTGTAGGACTTTCTTTTATTTTCAGATACATTAAAGAATCCTGCCACCCTAGAATTCTTCAGCATCACAATGCTTTCTTTCTTTTTTGTTTGCAAATATCTGGAAGCAGCATTAAAATGGTTCCATATGCTGCACAATATCGTGCTCTTTTAACTACTTGTGACTTCTCCAAGGCCAAAATTTTGCTTCCTCAGGTCATAAGTAGGTTGCATTCAGCAAAGGTCGCAGATGACCAAATAAATATAAATGGTTCATATATAATTTAAAGAGGGGAATATGATACACAAAAACGGCCCTGAGACTGATGGATACAATTACGATACAAATGGGCAAAAGAATCAGAACAGTAATACCATTGTCTGCAGAATGCTGGACTGCAGGGAAGGAAGAAGGATTATTCACTAAGGGGGTCATATACTGTCTGTGTGATGCTCCTGCTGACAACTTGGCTGATACGTTCTGGATTCTTTCTGGGCACTGCTTTGGCCAGAGATGCAGTTCCCAAGAATGGATGTAGTTGGCAGTTCAGTAGCCTATACAGTGGACCTTGGACTTACAGACGGCTCGACTTACAGACTTTTCGAGTTACAGACTTCTCTGGGCGCAAAATTTAGGTTCCACTTGCAGCCGGAGAATCAACCTACAGACCAGAAAAAAACCAAAAGGGAACAAAAATGAAACAAAAACGGCCGGTTACGGGATTAATCGGTTTTCAATGCATTGTAGGTCAATGGAGACTCGACCTACAGACTTTTAAACCTGCAGCCACTGTTCCAATACAGATTAATTCCATAAGTAGAGGGTCCACTGTATTATGTAAAGACTTGCCTGACTTTGGTCAACACCGGCCTGATGAGAATCCAGAGCTTAATGATTTCCCAGATAATGAACCTGCATTTTCTGATTCAATCCAAACCTCTGGTCAGATTTACTGACCAGGAGCAGCTCCATCTTACCTGATTAAATTTCAGTTTGGATGCCCACATCCATGTCTTTCTTCCTCCAGGCACCGGATGAAGAAAAGAGACACAGGACCCTCAGTGCAACGCTCTATAGTAGTTTACTGTTCAGAGCTCAAAAGGAAAGAATTTGGATGAATTTTAAAATTTTGTTTTTTGTTTTTAAAAGTACAAGTGTCTTCCAGCTAATTTTTTAGGCTTTATGCTCAAAAACACTTCTTGATTGATCTTGCCAAGTGTCCTTGTAAGTTTTTGTCACATTCCTGAAAAAAGAAAAAAAACCCTCTTCCCTGGAAAAAATGCTGTATTTCTAATTGTTGGTTTATATTTTCTCTCTTACTTTTCTTGGAGTAAACCCTGCACAATGTTGTAACGTATTTTAAATAAATAAATAGTGTCGGTTTGGTTCAGATTGGTCAGAGAGGTCAACAAATGTGACTGGCTGTTAGGAATTCTATAAACACCATTATTTTCTGGGGAAAGATTTATAAAGGTCAGTAAGGATGGGTTAGTGACAATTGGGCACAGTTTTATGAAGAGATAATAGAGTTGGGAAAGATACAGGCCAGGCCAGATTTTTGAGGTCTCTTTTCTTTCAAATGCTGAAGAATGAGAACCTCTTACCATGTTCTTTGGAACAGAACTATGAAATAGTACCGTTTGGAATAATACTTCAGTAACAGAAACCGAAATGAAAAAAAAACCCAAAAAGCCCTTTTTTCCCCCATGAGGAAAAAAAAGCTAAGTACAGTGTGTTAGTGGAAGCATTTTCAAACCCCATATAAAACCTGACCTGAGAAAATCTTGTATCAAAATTTGTGGCTTTCATGACACTAAATAAATAAACAAACAAAGAAACAAACAGTAATTTTTTAAAGAAATAACTCAGGGTGCAATCAAACAGTTGGAAAGGCTTGTGCCTGATCACCCCACAAAGGGTCACTTTGCAGGGAGTGATCTCCCTTAAAGCAACCCTTCTGTCTGTCAGGGAATTGCCCTAGGTAACCCCCCTCCCCAAAAGTAGTAATCCTACAGGTGGACTAAATAAGTCCAGGTTGGGCACGGAGTGAGATGTGGCTGGAGTGCAACTCCTTGTATGTACGTGTTCACCAGTCTAAAATGTGGTCTATTTCACCATGTGATCACACCCTCAAAGTGGCATATAGTCTCAATATTGAACTCATATTACAAGACAGGCTGAATATCAGATATAAACTTTTGAACTGTTAGAGCAGTACAACAATGGAACCAGTTACCTCAGGAGGTAATGAGCACCCCAGCGCTGAAGGCATTCAAGAGAAAATTAGATAGCCAACTGTCAAATCTGCTTTGATTTGGATTCCTACATTGAGCAAGGGGTTGGACTCAATGGTCTTATAGGGCCATTCCAACTCAATTATTCTATGATTATATACACCAAGAGATCCCAGCTATGATGGTGATAATGTCTGGGACAATCAGGTGCTTTTATAGAATCCTAGAATATTGATGTTGGAAGGCACCTATAAGGCTATCAGGTCCAACACCCTGCTCAGTGCAGGAATCCAAATCAAAGTATATCTGACAGATGGGTGTCTAATTTTCTCTTGAATGTCTCCGGAGTTGGAGCACTCACCATCTCTCAATGTAACTGATTCAATTGCTTGGTTTGGTTTGCTTGGTTTATGAATTTTTGGTAGGAGAAAGATGTTGGCCCAGAGAATTCGAAAGAGGTTCAGATGAGTTTTTAATGGTGCTATTTAATGGAATCACAGCAAAATCTTGCATTTACTTATATAAATCTCTTATACGTATTATTAAGGGCTTTTATTTGTTTGTTTATGGTTCTTGTTGTTTAATCCCTTCCTTCAAGCAATTTGGGGCCACATTCATATGTATTTGCTATTTCGTTTTCACTAGAACCCTGTGAGATAGGTTAGACATATAATCAGTGAAATTTGTGAGTTAAACCTTCAGTTTTTCCAGTGTGTCTGATGCTCTATACACTGCACAGATGGTGTCCTAATTTTTAAAAAGATATATGATTATCAAATTATACTTAGAGTAATATAATTTCTAGAATTTGTGTTTTCTTTTTGTGTGTCTGCAGATCTTCCATTGGGGCAAATGAGACCTTACACCCTGAAACAGAAAATGGAGAACGGAATGAAATTAAAAATGAGGATTATAAAGAAAGCACCACCCTGCATATCAGAACAGCAGTGCCAAGACCCCACCAGGAACTATTGATCACCACAGGGGCCATCCCAAAAGTTGTGGAGCAAAGCGACATGGATTTTTCTGGGGCAAAGCAAGAAAGAGAGCTAACGTATTGCCACAAAATTCCTCCTAAAGTGATTGAAGCCCCTCGAGCACACTTAATTGACATATCTACTTTCACTGGGGGGACTGGAGAAAAGCCAGGCCCTACAGTTGAGCTGCAGTTGTCCTTCTCTCAGGGCAGACACCAAGGCAGCAGTGCTGCAGGACTCACTGTTCTGGAGGCTGAACAGTGTATGCCTTCAGAAACAAGACCCACTTCTCTGCAAGATGGGACTGGCTGGGTGAGTGCTACAGCTCCTGCAACCGAGAAAGACCCCGCTGCTCTCCAACAGTCAAGCCAGATTTTCCAGATTGCTAGTGGCAAGGAGGCCAAAATAATCCACAGAGATGAGACAAAGGAGCCCCCTCTCACCAGGGTGGAAGTGATCTTGGACTGTTCTGACAGGGGGGAAGAAGCATCGAGGTCTCTGGTTGAAAAGGGGTGTGTGGATTCTCAAGTGGAAGGAGGGCCATCCGAGGCACCTCCTTCTGTGGTCTCCTTTGGAATCTCATCAGAAGGCACTGAGCACGGAGAAGACGGCCAGCACTCTGAAAGGGAACACAGCAGACCTCACAAACACCGGGCAAGGCACGCCAGTAAGTATGTCACGGCTAAACCGGAGGCAAGGCATGAGGGCTAAATTTCGTTACATACAACAGAACTGTACCCAAGTGCTTTTATAGATTGCTTTCCTACCATTTCTTTTTTCCTCTCTGCAACATTAAAATAAAAATGCTACTCAGTTTCTATTGCTTTTACAAACTTTATACTAAAATTATTGTGGGACCTAATCTTGCTTTGTAATACTATCTAACTAGGAAGCATGCTCCGTAATGTTATTCTGACACAGTTTTTGTATAGAATTCAGACTATGAACTGCCTACCCTAACTAAAAATACTTGTTGGTACAGACAAGCTCTCCGGCTTCTTAACAGAGACTTAAAAGGCAAGTTGATAGAGATTAGAACAGAGGAGAGAAGTGTGGTCAGAAATCCTGTCATTGTCACTGCTCGCTTTCGCTTTCACCATTCACAGAGAAAAGCAGCATTTTGTCAGGAACAGGCAAAGCATCTTTGAAAGTACAAATGATGCTACTTCTATTAAAAGCTGGGAAGAATTTTTTAAAAAAGAAAGGAAAGAAAAGCCTGATAGTGAAGCTTGATGATGCTTGCAGAAAGTGACTTTGACGGACACCAGCATGTGTATTTTTGGCTAGTTATATGATCCTTTCAGTTTGCAAGGCTTCCCTAGACTGTAAAGTGAACTTACTATTCCTTCTGCCTTCCATACCTAGAGGTCAGCGCAAAACTCTAAACAAGGTCTTAATTGGAAGTAAACTGGACGACAAAGGGAAATACAGCTAAGGCAACTCAGAAACTTCTTTTCTTGAAGTGTCTGTTTATCTGTTCAATTCTGCTGCTGATATTTAAGCAGTCATTCCTGGCTCTTTCAAGAATTCCATCAAAGGATTTCATGGTAAAATGGCCAAGGCACAATGATATACTGTCGTATTGAGCTATTGTACACAGGCTGCTGGAATAAGCATGCTAACTGATCACTCATTCCTCCACAGGCATATTTTTAGAATTACAGGAATTTGTATTGGTTCATGGATTGAGACATTAAGCATGAATAAAGGGTCCATGTGTAATCCGCGTAGTTGTCACATTAAACGGAGTATAGAAGGAACAGTGTGCATTCTTTGCATTTGGCCACTGCACCCAGTAGCAGCTGTGTAGTTGTGTCTGTCAGAATATACCTCTGGTTTAATTAAGAAGGAGCAGATCTAGGAAAACATGTATTAATATTTTCTCTCTAATACTTGCATGTTTCAAATCAAGCACAATTTGAAGGTGCACAAGCCATTGTGTATTCAACATTTTAAGAAGAATTGTGTTTGTGAAGAGATAGAGATATATACACAGTTTGGCATGCAAACAGCACTTCACGTTTAGGTACACCCAATGGTTCCTACTATTAGTATCATTATTACTATTTTAACAGAACATTTCCATGCCGTATCACAGCTTCAGAAATTCTCCACAGTTGCAGTACTCTTTTGCCTCCAGTTCTGAAAGACTGCCCTTTGAAAACCACAACTGAAAGACTCCTTCGTCATGTTTAGCATGTTCAGAAGTCCTGACATTCTAAGATATAAATGCTTCAGCAGTTCTTTGACCATGGTGGGAATATTAAGATGGACAAAATAGGTGCCTCAGTCAGCTGGTTTTTGATGTTAGGAAAGGATAGCTAATTTTTAGTCATTTAATATACTCTTGCTGTTGCATTTTTATTTCTCACTGTAAGGAAGAGTGGCATAATGTGGGAATGGAATCTATTTTATGGATTTTCAAGCAGCAAAATTTCTTGTTAGTGTAACCTGCACTGTAACACAAGCTAGTTGATAAAACAACAGCATTAATATGAGCTGTGTGTTATAAAATCAATGGATTCTATATGTTCAGATTAAGAGACACTTGTCATGTAAAATATGGAGTCGATATTCTCTCATGTGGAAATTGCTGCTCAATGTATTTCTTTTTCTTTTTTGCCCAGTTATTCAAGAATAGCACAACTTATTTTTACTGAGAAGTTAAGTCCAACTTACTTTCAAGTCTATGCCCAAATGCAAATATGTGATCCTTCTGCAATAGAAAATGCCTCTACCAATATCAGGAAATTGATAATTCTGTCTGCAATCCTATGCATTAAAAAATTTAAAAGCCAGTAGGACAACTTCTGAATAAACATAACGTCATTCATCTTCATTGATAGTGTAAACAGACACCATGGGTCAGTATTTTAGTCTCATTCACACAGTAATCATAGAAAATTAACTAGGTCTGCAACCGAATATTCATTTACTTTTTATTAAGTCCCATTGGGCTTAATGGGCCTATCTTCTGAGAAGACACCCAAAGAATTACAGTTTGCCAATTTGATTAAGAGACTTAACTGGTAGTCTGACTGCACTGAATTAAGGAATTTTCCCACGGTTATTAAAATCTATATAATCTGTTTATTAAATGTTATAAAGAGGTCTTATTTGTTCACATTCTTGTGATATCTCTCACCCTGTGATTCATCAGCAAACTACACTGCCTTTTGTGGAAACAGGTGTGGCATTGTTGGCCAAGATTAACAGATCTATTTTATTAACAATGAACTGGTTTATTGTAAAAAAAAAAATGGACCCCCCATTTTTTTTTCTACTTTTGAACAGCAGACTAACATACTGTATAATTAACTGCTTTTAAAAGTCTATTCCCTTGCAGTTTTGTTTTACTTATACACTGGGAAGTTGAAGTCCCAGAAATGCAATCAGGGAACTTCCTTGGGTTCAGATTCATGGTACATACACCAAACTATTCACACCCACCCCAACTTGACTGAAAGTCCATGTTTTACATAATGAATTTCAGATAGGTCTATAACATACATTCATTTCCAGCAGTCTCCCCCCCACACACACACACAACATCAGCAATATGTTAACCTGTTTACCTGAAAATAAGACTTAACCTGAAAATAAGCCCTAGTATGATTTTTATGGATGTTCATAATATAAGCCCTACCCCCAAAAGAAGCCCTAGTTAACTGAAACCCGCCCTCCACCATTGTGCAGCATCGTGCAGCAACCAGAAGATGACGTGACTGTAAAATAAAACATCTCCTGAAAATAAGCCCTAATGCGTTTTGTGGAGCAAAAATTAATATAAGACCCTGTCTTATTTTCGGGGAAGCGTGGTAGGTAGTCCATATCTCCTTCCTGATTTTGAATCTGACCTTTTCATCTCCATGAGCTCAAATCACACCCCTGTTATTAAAAAGATATAAATGGGAAAGACTAGTAAAATGAGCTGCAAACCTGTATATTTGTGAGACTCATCTAGCTATTTATGTGAATGCATGACCTCCTCTATTCTGAATGCTCAGCATGAGAGCTATATCAATTGGAATGTATCAAAGAAAGAAAGATGATAGAATAAATTGCTCATCAAGAAACATTTCCCACAATTTTATGTGTTTTAGTTTCCCAAATGCTAGTTCAAATGCCATTCTGTGAATCTAGAAAATGTTCTCAGCTGGAACATCCTGAGAACAGCTACACCCAAAAAGCTAACTTTATATTCTCTGGAGTCCTCGGGAGGTCTTGGGGATAAGAGGCCACATGGAAGGCAGTCAAAGACTGTATGTAGGCACTCATGCTGAATTGGACTAAAAGCTAATTATGTATTTCTTATTTGCAATTTACTATACTCTCCAAAAAGTTTAGAAACAGATATCTAGGCAAAATATAGCCAAGGAGACTATCCCTATGAATGTGCCTTCCGTTAGTGTTCCGACAAGCCGCTTCATCTTATGAATCAAGGAAATAATTTATTATATCAAGAACTGATCCTGTACACATGAACAGGTAGATTGTACTGGGATCATATGCATATAAATCAAAATCTCTTGTACATGGTCATCTGTACGGCACTGCTAAGTTACCTCTTCTGTTATACTCTACTGGCTTACATATATATGTACACAGAAAGAAGCAGATACAAAGCATCAAATACTCTTGTAAGTTGAGCTAGGAAATCCATGGGGGAGAGGAAATATTGTTCAAAGAATGTCAGTCAGGGAGGAATGACTGCTATGCAATTTTTATCATGGTTGTAACTGTGGGAAAAGATTAATTTTAATGCCCTGCCCATGCAACTTTGTATAAGGGAGGATTCCAGCTGTAGAGGAAGAAAGATTAATACAGTACTGTATGCATGCACCCCAAATAGCTATTGTGCAGCTTATAGTTAAAATTTCATTCATATTACGTAGGACGCTGTGCATTGAAATACACTCTTTAATCTTTTTGTCGCAGGGCTCAGACGGAGTGAGAGCCTGTCAGAGAAGCAGGTGAAAGAAGCCAAATCTAAATGTAAGAGCATTGCCCTGTTGCTGACGGCAGCTCCAAATCCCAACTCCAAAGGGGTGTTGATGTTCAAGAAGCGTCGCCAAAGGGCGAGGAAATATACTTTGGTCAGCTACGGCACTGGTGAGTTAGAGCGTTACGAGGACGAAGGAGAAGAAGACGAGGGTGACGAAGGGGAGAAGGAGAACGCTTTTGAAGTGACCTTACTAGGGACGAGTGAGTCAGAAATAGATGAAGATTTCTTCTCCGACCTTGAGAAGGAAAACCGGATTGTGACCTTTGACTGGGACACTGGGCTACTTGAGGTTGAGAAGAAACCCAAAAGTGGGGACGAGATGTCTCAGCTGCTTCCAGACAGCAAAGGAAAGGGAGCGCTCATGTTTGCCAAGAGACGGCAAAGGGTGGACCAGGTGACGGCTGAGCAAGAGGCCATGAAGGTGCAGGCTGTCCACAGCCATTCTGAGGAGCACCAAGAGGCCACCACAAGAGAGAGCACCCAGAAAATCAGCTCCTCTTTGTATCAGACAAAACAAGATGCCTCCAGAGTTCAGCAGAGCCATGTAAGCAAAAGCTACATAGAAGTGAGCCATAGTCATAACACACCAATTCAGCAAAACGGCATTGGAGTTGCCCCAGAAACGAATGCAATGTACCCATCTTCTGAAGCCTTTAAGACGGCTACTTTAAACAGAACAGCCAAGCCTTTCCCTGGTGTGCAGAACAGAGCGGCAGCTCCATTTTCACCCACACGGAGTATGACTAGTCCTCTCTCGGATCTACCTGCACCACCTCCTTATGCTTCAGTCAGCCCACCACCTGAAACCCTATACAGGACTGTTTTGACTCCAGTGGCCACCAGCACAACTCAGTCAACGCTACTGTCTCCAACAGAATCGACTGAACAGATTGCATCCAGGGATGAAAGGATTGCAGTGCCGGCCATAAGAACTGGAATATTGCAAGATGCAAAGAGGAGAAGCACTGCAAAGCCTATGTTTACTTTCAAAGAAGCCCCCAAGGTGAGCCCCAATCCTGCTCTTTTGTCACTTGTACAGAATACAGAAGGCAAAAAAGGTGCTGGCGCTGGCTTTGAATCAGGCCCCGAAGAAGATTACCTCAGCTTGGGAGCAGAGGCTTGCAATTTCATGCAAATCCAAGCAGCCAAACAAAAGGTCCCCCCTCCGGTGGCTCCAAAACCCTCACTCAAGGTCTCTCCCACTACCACAACACCAATACCACCAGTTTGGTCACCTCCAGCTGTGGCCCAGCCACCTGTCTTTCCATCTCCAAACTCACCTCAGGAGGCTGCTCCAGCACCTGTCAAAATGGCACAACCTGCTTATCCTCCTCCACAGCCACCCACTAGTCTTAACCTTGCTGGTCCCTTTAAAGGACCTCAGACAGCCTCTTTGCACCAAAATTACACACCCAAAACCACACCAGTCACACCGGTAGGTAACTCAGCACTTGCTGGAGGAATGGGGCCAGCTTTTGAGATGCCCCCGGCTATGAGTGGGAAGGGAGCCCAGCTCTTTGCCAAAAGGCAATCCCGAATGGAGAAATATGTGGTAGATTCGGAAACTGTGCAGGCCAATATGGCACGGTCTTTATCACCAACTCCGTCTCTGCCAGCTTCTTGGAAATATTCATCAAATGTTCGGGCACCACCACCAGTGGCTTATAATCCCATTCAGTCCCCATCTTATCCTCTTGCTGCAACCAAGTCCCAGTCAAAGTCTCCTGGAGCGGCCAAAAATACCAAGAAAAAACCTAAGAAAGCACTTAGTTCTTTGGAAGTGATGAAGCATCAGCCATACCAGCTCAATGCATCCTTATTTACATTTCAGCCTCCCTCTGAGCATAAGGAAGGCCTGCTTAAGCAACCCACCAAGTTTGACTCAGTATCTGCCTCAAAACCAGCTCTGCCATCAAGATCACTCAATGCTGATTCTCCCTCTAATGTCCGATCTTCTTCAGTATACTCTGTACCAGCCTACAGTTCGCAACCTTTCTTCCCATCAAATGCCTCTAGCCCCATAATTGAGTCTTGTGCATCAACAGGATACCCTACTTTCTCAAAGCAGGAGCCAATGGCATCCTCTACATTTTCTGCTCCCAGGCCAAAGTTCTCAGCCAAGAAAGTTGGCGTCACAGCACAGGTGTGGAAACCCTCAACCATTGAAGAGTAAAACCTAAATACCACTCAGTATCCACTTTGCTTGCAATGAGTTGTTTGCCGTGGTGATCTGGCACCCAAATTGATCGTCTGCTTACTTAATAATTTTGAATTTATTACAGAAAAATCTGGGTCCAAAAGAAGCTGAAAGGGGGGGGAGCCAAATGCTGAAATCCTATGCACAGTCAAATGGAAATAAGCCCCACTGAACTTAGTGTGACTTAGTTCTTTACAAAGATGCATAGGATCACACAGTAAATATTTAAAAAAAACTAAAATGAATATTGATTTGAGATGACATATTTATGTATGCAGTCATATTTAATAAATATGCATGTACACACAATGTCCAAAAAAAACACACGCATACCACTCTTTGTTAAGTAAGCAGGATGCTAGGTGTTAGTTCTTCTGTACACACATACAAAGGAAACATTCTTCCTGTATTTCAACATTTGCAACATAGCTTTCACAGGGAATTTGTTAGCAGGGGTGGGTGAATGGGGTGACATATTGTTCACTGCTGGCCAAAGGGTTTGAGTACAACCAACAGTTAACGATATTCAATTTCTTTTTAAACAGTGCCTTCTAATTTTATGTTTCTTGTGAATGCTGTGTACAGATTTAGATACATAGAATATATGAACCAACTCTGCAGTTGAATCCTTGTAGAAAATCCAATTAAGAGCCATCTTAATTAGATGGATGGCTGATTCTTAGTATTATTCTTCCCACTGAAACCGAGTCTGGGGAAATATATTATTTTTCATCAATATGGCCATAGTCCGAATTTGGGCATTGAAAATTGGTGAAATGATAAGCAGTGTATTTTCATGTTTCAGGTTAAAAATTAAGAGAGGGACTGCTGGGTTAGAGCCATGGTAGTTCATCTTACATGAACTTTATGACAATGTGTGTGTCTTTCATGAGATCTTTCTAGACCAGTGGTTCCTAAGCTGTGCTGCAGCATCCTAGGGCACCACCAAACCCAGCCAGGGTGCTGCAGAATCTGCTCATCCTCTGTAGGCCTCCTTTGATTCCCCCTTCCCTTCTCCCCCATCACCCAAAATATTGTATTGGGGAGCCGGCCAGTGGCCAGTACACCAAGGGAGCTGCAAGTCAAAAACGTTTGGGAACCACTGTACTAGACTAGTATCACAGGCAGCTGATTTAGGCATATTAGCAATGATGTTCAATCTCTCTTCAGTTCCCTTGAGATTCTGTTGCAGGACTGGGTTCTTAGAAAGTAAATTGGTGGCTTAACAGTGATTCACAATAATGAATTACCTCTTTGATTCTCCCTCTGTCCCTTCCAAGGGGCCCCTGAGGGATGAACATTGCTGTAGTTGGAAGAAGAAAAAACTGAAGAAAAGAAGCTTAGTCTGGAGATGTTCTTAGAAGTTTTTCCGATTTTAAGGAAATGTGGACCTTCTCGGTGTCAGCACACTTTGTAGAACAACAAGATAAGGTCTCGAGGAAATTAGAAACTATTGAAAAGTCAGGACGATAGGCTGTATTCTACATTTGTGGCAATTGTGCAATATGTTTTTGTGAAAACATCGTGACTAAGGTCTAAGGGACACACTGATCAATATAGGTTTTGCCGACTAGAGCAGACTGTGCTTTTCAAATTACATACTGTGATTCCTGGCCTCATCTTCTTGCTGATCACTTGGGCAGGTTCTTGTTTTCACTTTGGGCTTTCCAATCCTGCCCCTGGTATTTCTTTTTATTCTATCCTTACTCTTTTGCCTGACTTTTAATTAATACACTGTGGACCAGGAGGATCAAGACACTGTTACCATGCCATGTTTTGCTGAGTACCTGGGGCTAGTTTTAAAATTATGACTACGATAGAAAAGAACATTTTTGGTCATGCCTTCTAATTCCAAACTGTCTAGATATTTGCAGAATAAGAGAACAAAGATGAGTTTAGTGTTTTTTTAAAGCCATTTTTTGTTTTCACATTGAAATGGTCTTTTAACAAAACTATTGATGACACTTTGAATACAAGATTATTCTAGCTAAACTAATATTGCAAAATAAATCATGTTAAAAATTTTGGATCAAGACAATTCTTTCATTGGACTGATATATTTAGGCAGGGTGATGAAATGACAGGGTGGTGACATTTGATGTGAATACACTGAGTAATGAGGAGGAAATCCACTGACACTTGATTTGGAAATAGCTAGACCTTATATGAATAAACATATGTAGCTGCTGGGAAATCCATCTAGCCCAAGATTGCTCTAGATGGCAGTGGATGTCTGGATTCTCGGGCAGAGAACTTTCTAATAATCTGCTGTCTGATCCTTTCAATGAAAAGTACTATCAGGACTAGGGACTGGGGCCTTCAGTGTGCAAAGCATATCTTCTACTAGGCTACAGTGCTTCCCCAAAGTTTGTACAAGCTGTTTTATTTTTATTTATTTTTATTTATTCCATTTATACCCTGCCTATCTGGTCATTGCAACCAATCTAGGCGGAGTATTTAACTGGAGATCCAAACTGAGTCAATCACTGGTGCTTTACAGATTCTGTGCTTTAGTATGGAACAACATCATCTTAGTCGCTCCTTCTCTTATGAATTACTTACCAAGGCACAAAGGAAGGCCAGGCCTG